ATTGTATTTGTATAATTATAATGTGTATACATATATATTATATATATATATATATTACAATTTGAAATTTGAAATGAACACACGAACTATATAAAAAAAATTATTTCTTCATTGATTTTTAAATTTGTAATTCATGATTACCTCATTAAAAACCTTACCAAGAAAAACCCAATTAGGATAAAAACTTGATAAGGAAAAAAGAGTGCAATCATTGTGGGACGAATTACAAATTTGACAAACTTACAAAGTTTATACAAGATTACAATAACACTATACAAATTATAAAATTACAAAGTAAATAAATATTTACAAATTACAATAATAAAATTTAATTTGAAGCAGAATGATCGTCTTGAAAATTAAAAGTTAATCTATTAAACTCGTCGATCCATTCTTGGCTTGCCGGTGAGATTGTATCGTGTAAGCGTTGGTCGGAATGATCCCAATCCTTGATGCACACCAAAGCTTCAACAATATCATGTTGCAAAGCGTCTTAGACAGACCAGATTTCCAACTAGACATGGGAGTGAAACAAAGTCAGAGCAACAACCATGGAATCCATCTAGCTTACGGAAGACTATGCCGCCAACCAATGTGGCCGTACCCAGAAAAAGTAGTTGGACCAGCAAGACTTTGCCGAGGTTGCCATGCGTGACTAAAGGGAAATCCTTGTTTGAAAAAGAAATGGAGCTCGAACAATAGCTACTTCTGAACTTTCTAACTTCAGCTAGCTGACTGGTTTACTACTTTCTTTCAACCCAGTGACAGCGGAAGCTGATTCGTTTGCTTGTTTTGCTCCGCCTGGCTAGTTGTCTTTCCTCTGGCTTACGTAGTTTGCGTAGTTACATTCCTTCAGTGGTCCGGACTTGGCCTTTAACTGCCTCTCTGATTGGAATTGAGGGCTGGCCTCTTTGACTCGGGTAGGGGAGATTTTCAGATCCTCCGAGTGCAAAGCTAACGGCAGAGATTGTGGTTTCATACGCGGATTTAGATGCATCCTCATACACTACCTCAATCAGAATCAATTCCAACAAAGCTATAGCCTGTCAACCACATAAAAGCAATCTTTCAAGTTCAAGCCCGTCTTCCTTCTTCAAGGAGAATGCCTAGAAAGGGGACAAAGCATGGCACGAGGCCCCTACTGATTAAAGCAAGACAAGACCTATCAGGTGAAAGGCTTTTACAGAGTTCTCTATCCCTAGAAGAACATACATTTTAGCATACTCTCTTTCTTTAGAAATGATATGATACTCCATTAAGATACCTAGCTACTAGAATAGGAATAATAGCATATAGCTAAAATGCCTAAGAGAGCCCGGGGCCAGGAAAGCTTCTATCCTTATGAAACTAAGAGGCAAAGAAATGGGCTTCATTTTTTAAGCTTCTTATTACCCGCAGGAGTCCCACTGCTGTTAGCACCTTTTTTAGTACTCCTTGAGATAATTTCTTATTGTTTTCGCGCATTAAGCTTAGGAATACGTTTATTTGCTAATATGATGGCCGGTCATAGTTTAGTAAAGATTTTAAGTGGGGGCTTCTCTTTTCTCAAGAATGAAACAAAAAATAGATCCTGTTCTTTGAGAAGCAACTGCATTCTCATCTTCCAAACATCTACATTTAGAGGTTCCATTTTGCAATGCTTGACAATCGTATGCGTTAATGCAGTAATCATATCAGCAACCATAGATCCAGAAGATTGTATCGTTACCATTCAATAATTCAATTATGTTCTATCCTATACATTCCTTCTTATCCTACTTTATTCCCTAAATACCAGATATTTCATTGTCTTCTATAACCGAACAAAGGCAACTGATAATCCTAAAAAAGAAGTTACGCGAGTACCTCTAGCAGGGATCCCTTCACTCATAAGGAGGGTCCTAGAGGAAAGAAAGAGAGATTCTATACTGCATGCCGGTTTGGAGGCCGAGCCCTACCCCAGCAGTAATGGTGCGGCTTAGGTCAACTAACACAAAGAGGATACAGTTCACTCAATGATTGCCTTTGGGTTCCGAACTCTCCGTTCTTCAAGTATTCGGCCGGTTGTACTGAATGCTTGTTCGGCTGCAACAGTGGAGACCGGGAATGAAAAAATATTCATTGCCAATCGTGTTAAGATCGGCCAAGTTAATGCTCGTACCCTCCACCACTGAACCAAATCAAACATTTCACTACTGTCTACAACTAAGCCCTCACTCAGGTACGTCATTAACTCGTTGAATCTGCCGCTGTTGCCGCCACCTCTTGACGAAGATTCACTCCCAGATTCTTCTTGACCTTGAGTCGTCGTCTTCTTCTTCTTCTTAGATAGCCCGAAAACATTCAAGAATGAATGCGGATTGTTGTCTCGTTGTTGCGGTTGTTCAACATAAGGTGTGTTTCTAAACCTACTTTCGTAAGAGATATAGAGAGAAAATATTTTTTCCTTTATAATAGGAAATTGGTCAGTAGTGTCGATAGCTAAAGATTCACATAAGTTATCTAATCCACTTTCTAAACCTTCTAATTTTAATCTAGGGTCAAAAATAACATTGAAACCATACAACATGGGTAATTTAGACTAATATTTCTTAAACTTCTTTTCTATAGAGGCGATAAAAACTCTTAAAACCTCACGTGTCATAAATTCACTAAATAAAATAGACATTCTTAAAAGTTCTCCTAACGCTAATGGTGACGTTGGGTAATAAGTTCCACTAAGCTTTAAGGTAACTTCGTGAAATCTACCTAAAAAGTTATACAAGAGTTCGGCAACTTGCCAATCAGTTTCATCTATAAATCCTAGTCCTAATTTTGCACTAACATAATTTGTTATAGCATCTTTATAGGGGATGCATTGTTTAAGCATTATATAAGTGGAGTTCCATCTTATGGGCATATATAAGGCTAATGCTCTAGAATTTTTGATTACATGCTTGTAAAAATCTAAACCAATCTTGTATTTTTTTATTACTACCTTGAATCCAAGCAATGTTATCTCTAATTCTTTTAATATGACCTGACATTGATTTTAAACCGGATTTTACTATTAAATTAATTATATGACATGCAGAACGTTGGTGAAATATATCATTATTACCGAATAAATTTAAATCATTTTTAAAAAGTTATATTGCTTTAGTATTTGCAGTTGTATTATCTAATGTTATGGCCATTATTCTATCTCTTAAACTATATTCATCAATAACAGATAAAATTGTGTTATATATTAAATTGGCAGTATGTGATCCTATAACACATTTGAAACCTAAGATTCTTTTATCCAAATCAAAACTTTTATAATAATGTCCTGTTACAGCTAAATAATCATTGTTGGCAACGGCGGACTAAATATCCGCCGTTAACGCAACACAACCACTAGTACAGTGTAAAAGGTTGATTAATGCTTCCTTTTCTTGTTTATATAATTTTAATGCATCTTTCCTAAGAGTAGTTCTAGAAAAAAAATTGTGCATTAGGATTATGTACAATTTTAATATAACGCTGCCAATTTCTTTGTTCAGTAAAACTTAGTGGTTGATCTAATGTGCCTATTAATCGTGCCATTTCCATACGATCAACTTGCGGATTGTATTTTCACGTGCTTAGACCGCCAGTTTGGCGGTCAAACGATAATTATGTTTGGCAGAGATCAGCTCCGCCTCCTTGCTTTTAGCGGCGGAGATTAAGAGAGATTTGAGAGAGATTAAGATAGATTAAGAGAAATCTTGAAAAAAATAATAATTTTCCCCCAAAAATTTGGGTCAAACGGCTAGTAACATTTTTGGGCACTCGGTCGGGTCGGGCATGTCGGGCAACGGTAAAAAATATAGCCGTTGGGGTTCAAATTTTTGGGCAAAATTCGGGCGACGGTCGGGTTCGGACAAAAAGATCCGTTGGGTTCAAAATTCGGACGGATTTCGGGCTAACAGTCAAAAAAATTCGGGCATTTTCAAGCAACGGGCAAAATTCGGGCTAATGGTAAAAAAAATTTTGGGTAAAATTCGGGCAAATTCGGGTTACGCTGGAAAATAAAAAAAAAAATCCGGTGGACGGCGGGGGACGACTTCTCACGGTGGCGGGCAACTAGGGAATGAATTTTTTCGGGCTGTCCGAACCCGTGCCTGACAAAATACCCTGGACGGGTGACGAATGGCACTTACTCGCTGTGCCCGAAAATTTTCAGGCACCAGGCATGCCCGCCGCCCGAACTTGCACCACTACTCTCATCTAAGCATCTATAACAAAGTTCAACTACATACCAAAAACTCATGACAAAGCACCCATCTACACATTCCAACTGTAAATGAGATAGACGCCTCAGGAGAAGAAAGAAAGAAAGCAAATATCTTTAACTTTTTAGTCGAAGAGACTAAAACCAATATCCTCATCAGACTCATTCTCTTCCACCTTCCCTTCCTTCTTGCAAGCAGATAAATCAAAAGAAATTCTAATAGAAATTCAAACAGACCATTCGGATAAGAGCTTACCGGAACAAAGTTAGCACAGTGGGAAACGAGAGAAGAGATTAATCTAAGAGGAGAGGCAAAGGAGAACGGAGAAAAGTGAGTGAGAAACTGAGAACTAGAACCGGTAAAAGACAAAGGCGAAAAGTAAGTGAGAAATTGAGAATTAGCAATTAGGGTTGGCTATTTAAGTTTAAGACAATTTTATAATTTTTTATAAATTTTTTATTTTTGTATATAAGTTATAAACGGACGGGCCGTGTCGTATCGTGTTAACTCGTTAACGGTCCGTATAACTAAACGGGTTAAGTATGTTAAATAGATCGGCACGAATCTAGTCAATTTATTTTCGTATTATTTATGACAGCCCGTTAACAATTTAATTAATAATCATACAGTCTAAATTTATTTATCTCGTATCATTTTCGTATCATTTTATCGCGTCATTCTGAAATTGTCGGCCCAATTTCCAAGTAAACCGTGCGTGTTTCCATCCATTTTCACTATTAGAGGGGGGGAAAAAAAGAAAAAACATTTCAATTCATCAAACAAAAATGTTTTGGAGTTTTAACGTCTGATTCCATTAAAGTTTGGAGGGTTTAAGGAGTCTCCCACATAAACCCTCTCTCACCTCTACAATGTGGTCTCGTACTTTCTCTCCCAAGAAGCTTGCTTTTCTCTTCCATCCTTCTAAAGGTAAAACATCTCTCTCTCTCTCTCATTCTCATTCTCATACTCATACACAGAAACACTCAATTTCATTCTCTCTTTTCAGTGAAGCCTCTTGACCAATGGGTTTCTCCATTTCAAGCCTTTTTCTCTACTGACATTGTTGGCGACCAACCAATCCTCGTAAGCCCTAAAAAAATATATATTTTTTCATTTCTTGCTTTTATGGGTACCCATTTGTTTTTCTGGAATTTTTAGATGGTGGGTTTTGCTTTTTCTCGGATGTTCTTCTTAGTTGATTTGTTGGGCAGGTTCGTGATTTCATCCATTCTGCTCTGTATGACCCCAATCATGGATACTTCTCCCAAAGGTCTCGCTCCGTTGGAGTGCTTGATAGAAGCATCAAGTTCAATCAGCTTGGTGGTATTTATGTTTCTTCTTGTTATTTGAATTCTGATGTTGGTTTTGTGGGATTTTAGTGTGATCTTGTGATTTTCGAGCATACGAGTCGGGTCCTTTTTTTCTCAGGTTTGAGTTAAAAGAACTTGAGTTGAAAAGTGAAGTTATGCGAAGAAAAATACTAAGCAGAAAAGTTGAATTTGAATTTTTATTTAAGGAAATTCTGTAGCAAAAACTTGTTAACTGTAATTGTTTAGGCTGAATTTTAATTTTGGTCTCTGAATTATGCACCTTGTCTCATTTTAGCCCTCAAAACTTTAAAACATTCAAACCACAATTATCTATCAAAAAGTCTCACGTTTGTCCCTTCCACAACCAAATCGTCAAAAACTCGAAAGGATCAACCAGGGAACCCTTGCATGCCTGATTAATGAAGGTTGTTTTAGATAAATCACGCGTGAATTAATTTTAAGTTTAAAAGTAGAAAAAGAAACAATGTGGTCTCTCTACACATGAGCTGGTAAGCTAACAAGGCATGTGTGTTTTAAATTTATTTAAATTTATCTGATAGGTGCACTTTATCTAAAATTCCCTTCATCAATTATGTGAGAGTCAAATGATCAATTTCGTTGAGTTTTTAACGAATTTGTAGCAAAATGGCTGAACGCGTGACTTTTTGATAGATTAGGATGCAATGTGTAATGTTTTGAAATTTGAGAGCCAAAATGGGACAGGAAGCATACTTCATGGGGCCATATTGAAATTAGCACAATAGTTTAGTTATTTGTAGCTCTTGTTTTGAGATATTGTGGACAAAAAGGACTGATAATTCTTCCTAGAGAGAGATGTTATTTTAAATTTTTGTACTTGCCTTTCATAAGAACTGAAAAGATCTATTTGTAGAATTGAAATTAGCTAAGTTTATTACATGGTTTTGGATTGTTTAGCTGACTAATTGCTCAGTGCCTGATGGGGGGTTATCAACATTTGTGTGAGATATTTAACTTTATCTATGTTGAAGATTACATACATCTGTGGTAGAGAAGCTAGTGAGATGTCATTTGACTTAGTTGAAATTTCTGCTGCCGTGAGAAAGGAACAAAATTACTTTGATCTAGGTTATGGGAGGAAATGTAGGCCCGATGCTTCAACTGAATGCATTGACGTGAGTGCCAAGTGGTGTAAAAATGATTCTCTTATCAACCTTGGATACTTAGGTGGTCCGGTGTCTCTTTCTTTTTGGATAAAACTTAAATTTACCATTATTAGTTTCATGCTATGTTAAACACGACCATTTGTGGATAAGATAGAAGGAAAATACTTGTTTTATAGATAAAAATTTACACTAAGACCACTATCACACTAATAAACCGAAGAAGAAGCACAAATAAATCGTGTGTGCTTCTTTTTTGCTATATTTGTCTTTGTAACAATGGGCTTAGTATAAACTTTTATATATAAGATAAGTTCTTTTCTTCTATCTTTCCACTCGTGGTTGTGTTTAAGATGCTATTGAAAGAGTAAACACGCTTGCTAAATATTTGAGCTGAAAACATTACTCTTTGCTAAAATCTTGTTTCCAGACTACCTTTACTACCATATATCTATTTTTAGAACTTGGATTTTGTTGAAGAAATGGGGAAAAAAAAAAAGAAATATCTTCTTGCATTAGTGTTTGAGGGTACCTGTAATTATTTACTAGTCTCTTCGTAGTTTGTGTTATGTATGTACTAACTATTATATGCATTTCCCTGGCTGACAATTTATAGATGTGGCATTTTAGGAAGGAAAGCTTACTTGAAACACCTGGATAAAATTTACAAGGACAGTGATATTGGATGGTTTACTCCAGTTGAACTCTTTAAGGTAAATATTCTTTCTTCTCCCGATCTTGTTCCTCTTCTTCCAGTGTAAGATTCTAATCTATATTATTGAATTAGGATTTGGATTGACTATTGAGTTTCTTTCTTTAGCTGGCAATGAAGAAAGTAATCAGTTTCAGTCTAAGCATTTTAATAAAAAATAGATAGTTTTATCCCACAAGAATATCTTCACAGTTCTCAAGCAGTTGTAATGTAGAATTTTTTTTTTTCCAAACGTTTCTTTTAGCATTTCTACTTTCTTCAGGTTTTTGTGATGTGACTTTTGTATTTTTTGTAGCCTTGGTATGCCCATGGAATTGCTGAAGCGATACTGCGGACTGCTAATCTTTCAGTTCCACTCAAAGTAAGCTCTCTTTCTCCTGTGTTGTGATGACATTTATTATTCTTGGTCTCCAAGTACCTTTCCAGAAGTTGCACCCAAGCTCTATTTCCTTGTTTTCTATCATTAGCATGGTCCATAAAGAACCCAAATAAATGAATGTCTCGGATAATTTGGAACACTTAACTTTGGAACCCCAGTTCCTCCCTTTAAGCAGAATTGAGAAATAAAGAAGCCCCAAAAGAAAAATTAAAAAAAAAGGGTGGAAGTAATATTCGTAAGGAAGTCCTAATGCCTACACTATATAGATGAGTTGGAATAACGATTTTGCTTGAAAACTAACAGTTTTTTTAAAGATTGAAAACTACAACGTGTATGTAGTTTCTTTAATCCCTCTTTTCTTAGGTTTCCAGACTAAAGTCCCTGAACTCCTTTTAAAGTTATAGCATGTGCATTGGGAAACAAATGAAACTCATAGTAATTGTTTCACATAACAAAGTTCTTTGCCTCTTACTAACTAAGCGTTTTTACCATGACATAGTTTGGAATTCTTTTAGTGTTTTTTCATGAAAGTTACTCTTACATCCTGTTCATGCATTGAAATTACGTTGTACATACACGTAATCTTCAAATTAACTGCAGTTTTTAATGTGAGCTCAGATATATGAAATTGGCGGTGGATCAGGAACATGTGCCAAGGGAATAATGGATTACATAAAGTTGAATGCACCCCCTAGAGTTTACAACAATATGACTTACATGTATGTTTCTTAACTGTATCTCTGTGTACCATATTTGTGTTGATACTTTCATTTCCGGCTTTGTGCTGGTAGCGCCATATGGTCTTATAATGCTGTTTTTAAACTTATCTTTATGCTAAAACTACCTTCTTGGAACCATCAAATGACATTGTGTAGTTTAGTGCTTTTCCAATTTGTGAACTATGCTTCTTAACTTGCGTTTGTGATCAAGTGATTAATTTGCTATCGATTCATTTACTCACCTCTTTTTATTTTTAACCAAATTGTCTTTCAGCTCTCTCTCTCTCTCTCTCTCTCTCCCCACACACACACGTCTGTCTATTTATATGTGACAGGAATCCTATACTGATAAACTGATGAAGTATAACTATGATTTCTCTATTCGTCCTAAGTGGATTTGATGCCCTTGAGTATGTTTTTGGGTGAAATTTACTAGTTTGAAAATTCTTGACTTAACGTAGTTTTTCCATATCATACTATACAAAAAGGGAACAAGTTTCTTAGATTTTAAATCGCTATAGATTTTGATTTTGCGAGTAGGCGTGTTTGAAGCAGCTTACTAGTTTTGTTATCCTCATTAAACATAAATGTGATCAGCTATTAATCTGCATCATTCGATGCTTTCACATCTTAATAATTGGCTATGTCATGTTTACTGCCGTAGCTCAGTAGAGATCAGTCTCTCTCTTGCCAAGATACAAAGAGAAACTGTTGGAGAAGTTCAATGTCACTCGTCACGGTTTCGAGTGGAACGCCGTGACGCTGCCGACAGGAGTGGATGGGGTAAGATTCATTATTACGAGCTTCATTTTATTATTATTATTATTATTATTATTATTTTGCTGGTTATGTTTTGTGACTTATGTCTGCACATAAGCATTCATACATACATTTGTATTTGCGTTCACACATATCCCAGAAAATTTATAAATATTTAATTTCCTGTAAGATGCCCTCTCCGTGGTTCCCTTCCTTATGAGTGTCTCTAGCTGTTATGAGTTTCCATGCTTTGAAACAACTATAATCAACTTTCTTGTTTCATCTGTAATTTGACTTTTATCATCCTTCTATTCCCAAAGTTACTAACTATAATCAACTTTCTTGTTTCATCTGTAATTTGACTTTTATCATCCTTCTATTCCCAAAGTTACTATAGTCTAGAACATATATGATTTGATTGTAGTCTGCAGCTGGTTTGTTTTCTTACCAAATTTTGGATTTAATAGGGGAGGTGCAGCAAGAACCATGTTGGGTGATAATGCTTGAGGTACTTTTTTTCCCTTGACTTCAACATAATACATCTATGTGACTGTTAACATTCAATAAATATAAGAAACATTAAACTTGGTCAATCTAGTTTCTTTGATTTCATATGTTGAATTTTAAATATGTGTACGATAACAATAATGTTGAACATGTTGCCATTATAAAAAATTGCCAGATCTAGCACATCATTAAGGATTCCATTGAACTCCTGAATTCTCGTAAATTTGTATTTTAATATTGCCATGTATCTATAATTGTAGTTCATAAAGCACCATGAAATGTGCATTTTCTGATGCATTTCTATGTTTCTCAGCATACTCAAGCGTTGCTTTTCCCTGTTTCTTCTTCATTCTGAATAAAAATCATGATCAAATGAAAAGTTTTCTTATAAAATCTAAAGATCGGTGTACTGCACAAGTTTTTCTTTCTTTAGGGATACAAATGACGCCAATATATAGTACAAAGCACATGACATCATAATATTCTGGCATTTATTAATTTGCTCACACAACCAAATGGCTGCAACACAATGTTCTCTTTTATGTAGATAGAGGCATTTAGTATTGCCCCTTGAACGTTTTTTGGAGACAAAAAACTCTTCTCGAATTGTATATTATGAACGTAGCTAAATTACAATTTATAATCTCAGCAACCTAAACTACATCCTATCTAACTGGACTTTTAGAATTTGAAAAACAACAGCTAAAGCAACAGCTAACCAACTTATCCTATCTACTAATTCAAATCTTGTAATTTGAATTCTACTGATGACGCAAAATAAATAACGGAAAAAATAAATCCCTTATTTTCCGACACCCCTATATTTCCCTGTTTTTTTAAAAAAAAAAAAAAAAAAAGGTTGGTCTGCATGTACCGTGTGGTGCCGGCCAATAACTTATGGATTTGTTGCTTGCAGGTGCTCGATAATCTTCCTCATGATCTTATATATTCAAAAGATCAAGTTTCCCCGTGGATGGAAGTATGGGTCGAAAAACAAGTTGAGAGGTAAGCACATCCTTAACATACCTTTTTCAACTCAGATCTTCCTCTGTTATTTGTTTGATGAAACAATTTGCACATTAGAACTGATATTTCTCACATCAGCATTCATAGTAAAAAGGATTGTTGATATGAACCTATTTCTAATATCATATAAGTCGTGACTCATATTTCTCACACGTGCACAATTCCAGTTTTGTGTTGTACTTTTCATAACCCTTCTTCCTTACTATGGAAAATCTTTGTGAAATTGCGTACGTATGGATGAATGTCGAACATTTTTGCTCGATTGAATCCCCCAGTCAGTATCTCGGTCTCTTGGTCACATATATTGCAACTTTTACTTTGTTAATAAAAATGGCCATGTGTGTGTATCATTAGTTAATAATCCATATTGAATTTCTTGGAGCTAATATGATTGGAGTGGGTATCTTGCAAACTTAGACCTAAGCCTTCTTTGTTAGTAAAAGTAAAATAGCAGCTCAAGTGATTGATTATCAACGATTATGAGTTCTATAGTGGAAGTTCATTCTCGTCGTTTTTCAGTTGCAACTTGAAATATCTATCTAATTAGTTGGCTGTATTTTGGTGAATGAAGTGTCGACTCGTCTTTTCTGTTTTGTGTCAGGGTCACACACGAGTCACGACACAAACTTTTAGGGCTTTGTAATGTGATTGAAAGTGGATATTTCGGTCACTTATGTTGTCACACATAAGTTTGCTCTTCAGTAATATTTAGCCGGCCATCAGATGTGGGACAATGTGAGTTTAGTTTCACTGATTCTAGTTTCTTAAATCAACAGTGGAACTCTCAGTGAGCTGTATAAGCCATTGGAAGACTCGCTAATTAAGCGTTGTTTCAAGATTTTGGACATGGACAAAAGTCAGGCGACTCAAAGCGGTGTGATTTTAAAAGCAAAGAGCATTTGGTCGAAAGTCTTTCCGAAACCTCAAAGATGTTGGCTGCCAACTGGTTGCTTGGTGAGAAAAATGTTGAATAGATCTTTTTCTTTCTAAGTATAAATTTAAGCTGGCAATATTGTTGTATTTGAATATGCAGAAACTACTTGATGTTGTACATGGTGTGTTACCAAAGATGTCTTTAATCGCTTCAGACTTCAGTTATCTACCTGATGTAACAATACCTGGTGAGAGAGCTCCACTAGTTTCAACCAAGGTATATACCTTCTTACTTGATAATGACTTCATTAGAATAATTCTTTGTCTAAATGCTTTTATCAGTTTAGTTGATTACTGTAGGGTTTTTTTTTTTTTTTTTTTTTCTCTTTTCTTTTTTGAGACTTACAAAATTTCCATTATGTTTGACTTTATTTCTGAAATAACCCTGTGTTTCTGAAAATAGCAATTCACGCCCTTGCAATTTGTAAATTGCATCAAAATAAACCTCGGGCAGGCTCAAGTTGGGATCTTTTTCACAAAATGTCATTTTTACCCTTGAAAAAAATAACAAAACAAGATAATTTGTTTGTCTGAGTTCTCAAATGGCCACTAAAATAACTTTCACCCCCTTGCAATTTGAAAATTGCATCAAAATAAACCTTGGGCTGGCTCAAGTTGAGATTTTTTTTCTTCACAAAATGCCATTTTTACTCTTAAAAAAAATGACAATTTGTTTGTCTGAGTTCTCAAATAGCCACTAAATAAACCCACACCAAATAATAAAAAAGAATACAAAATAAAATCCAAAATGAAAGAAATATATGAGAGAGTTGTTGTGCTTGTTGAAATTTCAAACAAAACAAGAACTCATACTTTCTTGTTCTACTTTCCCTTTCTTTTTTTAATTTTTAATTTTTGATTTGTTTTCTTCTTTATTTTTTTGTTGTAAGGTTTATTTATGAGTTGTTGGGAAACATGGATAAACAACATGTCCTTGTCTTGTTGTTTTCAAAGGGAAATATGGAATTTTGTTTATTACATATGTGCATATATGTATATCAATTTTAAGTTTATTTCAAGGGAATAAAAAAAAAAAAAAAAAAAAAAAAAAAAAAAAAAAAGATGCAAACACACGTGAGCTTTTAGTAATTTACCCTTTTTCCCTGAACTTTTGTTAAACAATCTTTAGAGTTTTCAATGTTTTAATTCTCATCCTATCTTTTCAATTCAACGATATAAATCGTAAATTTTGGTTTGCTTCAATCCATCTAAGGAACGCTCAGGAACCATCATTCAGTATATTTATAAGCATGCAGTTGCTGGATAATTCAAAGGGATTTTATGATGAGCAAGAGCAAGTGAAGCTTGTCATATTTCTTGAGATGGAAAGATGGCATTGCCCAAATCCTACTAGTGTTTGGTTAAGATTACCATAACTGAAAAAAACACGTGGGCCTGTGGCATTATGATTTGAGAAATATAATGGATCAGATATATGAAATATAATTTGGTATACTATTTAAAATGATCTGCCACTTAAAATGGTTGAATAGCCTTATGTGTGAATAAATTTCTTTGTTATTCCTACTAGCTTTTATTTTTAGGCTGTATTAACTTTTAAGGTGATGAACAACTATGAGCTTGATCATTATATTTTCTTTCTGCAGAAAGATGGTAGGAGCTCGGATTATAGCAGTTACCTAGATGCAAAGGTAGGATGCTCTGTTGCTATTGCATATCATTTTTCATACTGGTGTTTTGTGTGTAAGTTATTTTGTAGAGAAAAATTACAGGAACAGCCATTCATCATTCTATTATTTATGCCATTAAAAAATATTCTAGTAGAATATAAAAAATATTCTGCCAGAAAAAATATTGTGGTAGAATATATCCTACCAAAATATTTATGGTATAAATGATAATTATCAAATTGATGGCAGAAATAAAAGTGGTCTTTTTTATGGTATTCCTGAAAATTTCCCTTTTTTGTATTGCATACTAGGGCGAACCGGAGTGGATTGTATGGTAAAGGTAATAATGGGTTTGGAAAGGAAAGAAAAGGAATATAAATGAGGACCATTGATTTCAACTTAAGCATTTATTTGTCTATTAAGAAGCGGAATTGGAAAAAATCAAGTGTTTACTAAACTTAGGAATAGAACTCTTACCAGTTTATCGAGAAAAAGTTGCCAAGGAGGAAGTTGGGATTGGATTTTTTTTTTTTCATTCCCTAATCACGCGACACCCACTAAATTACTATTCTTGATTTTATAAGTAAACACACGACTTGTGGGAAAGAGAAATACTTGCCCCCTTCCCTTTCCCATTCCTGTGATGCAAACATGCTCTAAATCTGGCTATAATGACAGGAATGTGGCAAAGATACAAGAGGAGAAAAAGTCATAGGAAAAAAAGAAAGATACATATGGTGATAGTTGAATTTATCGTTGATGCCCTATGAGTATATTCACTTGTCTCACTTTAGTCCCCAGCATTTACTTTTAGAGGTCTAGTTTACCCGATGTTGATGAACTACACAGTTCGTGCACTATGTTAATAAACTGTCAATTTTTAAACAGAATTTAAGCACGAGGGTCTTAGGAAAAAAGAAAATGGAAACAGACAGATTTTTTTTTTTTTTTTTTTTTTTTAAAATGTCATCCAATCCAACCGTGGTCTTTTTACTGAGGTCCTTTCCTTTTAGAATTATATTTTATTTTTCTGCTGTCTTTTTTTTTTTTTTTGTTTTTTTTTTTTTTGTCTCTTATCATTTTATCCTCTTAAAATCCTCACTTGTCATCACCGTGCTACATTTTGTCTGATAATAGACTCTTAATGGAGAGGTGAAATTGTAAATTTCTGAAATTGTCAAGTTAGGTAGACATCTAGAAAGAAATGTCAAGGATTAAAGTGAGACAAGTGGATATTCTCGGGCCATTGTTTACCTTCAAGAACTTGCCTTTTCAAATTATTTGGAAACCTTCCTGATACCACTTTTTTTTTTTTTTTCCCCACTTGACAGGGTGATGCTGATATCTTTTTCCCTACTGACTTTCGGCTTTTGGAACTCATGGATCATTACTGTTCTGGATGGCTGAAACCGGACAAAGATCAATCGTCCAAGCAAGGGAAAAAGAGGCGAACAATCATAGTAAGTCCAATTCCATTACATCATCTTTCATTTCATTTTCTTATTTTCTTGGTTTCTTCCATCCTAGGAAAAGCATCCTTGGAGGGACAAATGTGCATTTCATTTTCATATTTTCTTGGTTTCTTCCATCCTAGGAAAAGCATCCTTGGAGGGACAAATCACACCATATTATGTATTAGTGTTTTATGATATTGATGCATCTCCCTGTTGAAGTCTAAGTTGATAACACGGTTGGTTTTGAGTAGATGAAAGTTGCATACCAACTATTTTAGAATATCAGTATCTTGTTGCTCAATTATAATTTTCATGAATGGTGTAGCTCGATACGTCATCGTTCATGGAAGAGTTCGGATTGCCCTCGAAGACGAGGACCAAGGATGGATACAACCCCCTTTTGGATGATTTCAAGAATACAAAGTTCTACCTCAGTGTTCCTACACACAATATTAAGTAGACAAATCTAAGTCATTGTCCATTTATTTCCCATGAGTATTATCTGGTCAAAGAAGGTGGTTGATTGAGCAAGTAATGTGGTGGAATTTGCATGTGGAATCTTAATGCTATACATGCATTAGAATTTCTATTTATTTTTTAAATAAAAGGGGATAGTATAGGAAACATACCAAATGAGGAAGGAAGAGATTCAAAAAGTCAGTACTCTTGAGAAAACAAATTTTTTACTTGTCCATACATATATATATATATATATATATATATATATATATATATTCTCAATAATTAACAGGTCCAAAAAGCTTACTTTTAGTTACATTGTAACCATCATTCATTTTCAGTGCCATAAATGAAGTCACAGGGTAAAACAACTAATTTGAAACTCTTTCTTCTGATTTGCACAACGACAGGAGCTAGATTTGGATTAGCATCATTTGTTTCATTCATGACTTGGTTGACAACCCTTTTACGTTTGTTTTTCTTATTTTTGACTACTAGTAGGACTTCTCCATTGACAAATTAACTTTCATATAATTTGTTTGTTTTTCCGTACAATTTCAAGATTGGTGAACCAAGTTTACACCAATAATCCGACCAGTTTTCTAAAAGAAAGTTGCTTGGACCTTAACAGAACGCTATTGTGCAACAGTACTGTTTGACTTCTGCAAAATGTCAAAGCTGAAACAAACCTAGAAAGGCTGGTTGTTGAGCCAGCCTTCGTCGTCTATGAAACTCGAGCTAGTCAATTGCTTCACGGTTTCCTCGTTCAGTTTCTTCTCCCAACTCACTCGCCGGGAAGAATCCGATCCGGGTCCAAAGCAACCTTCCTCTGCATATGTCAATTGGTACCTGAGAGAAAAGCATTTGTTCTTGATTAAAATGCTTAAAGAGTTCAAAAACTTTCCAGTGTAAAAATCAACATCTTGAAAAGATTTTGCCGCGAGAGCATTCATGATGTTCGTGATAAAAGATTTTTATCGTCGCGTATAATTGCTCATACAAGTATTTTTTCTATGCAAATTAGTGGTTGCGGTTGAGCAAAACTCACTCTTGGCCAGCAAAATTCCAAGCATTCCAACCTTGAGGCACTATGACGTCTGATATATTTGTGTTGTAAAAGAAGACTCTTGCATAGCCTCTCCATGGCCTTCCGAGGAAGGCCGAACCGGAACCGAACACGTGGCAGTCCTTGAACACAAACCCATTGGCATCATTTGGGTTCGTTCTTCCCTGTGCTGTGATAAAGCCCTGAAATCCTGGCTCTAAAGCTCCACCAACCACTGATATGGAACATCTCTAAATGTACAAAGTTGGAAACAAACCACTATCGTAAGTATCTTACGTACAAGTAATGAACTTTTCCTTTTTCAATATCAATCCTTAACTTATCAACTTCATGTGTATGAACAGACCACTACCTTCAAAAACTTGCAAGTAATGGATATTCCTCTTTAGTAGTAAAACTTAACGTATAAGTTAAATTTACAGAATAAAAGGCATTTGCTTCCTTTTTTTTTTTTCTATTTTTTTCATACATGCCCCCATTAAATTTCATTTTTTTTAAATTTTTATTTCTACATCTTTTATACAACTTTACTCCTTTTACTCATGAGCTATTCTAACATGTGTTATGATTTATATATGGGAGCTTTTTATGGTATTTTTTTTATTTTTATACCATACATTTTGTGGTTAAAAAATGTATACTTTATATTTTGAATTATTTTACATTTATACATTTCAAATTCATAGTAAATAGTTACCCACGGTTAAAAGTTGGTTTTTATTATAAAAAATACCCAAATATCCTCATATTTTACAAGTTTCTTTTCATTTAAAAAAATTATTAATGACATTTAGCTCTTTAAGTAGCCAAAATTAATTGTTGATCGAGCAAAGGCAAGAAGTTGGCATAAATTAGAAATCTGAAAACATAAAGATGGTCAACTGTAAAATATAATATTGCATGATATTTTTTTTTATCATTTTAAGTATAAAAGTGAAAAATACCTTTTATGATAGGGTATCCTTATTGATCTAATCAAAATCACATTAAAATAAAAAATATGCATAATAAATAATTTTTTATACCAAATCACATTTTAAGACAAAGCCATATCAACGGTTTTTTCTCACATTATCAAATTCTTTATATGTATTTGGTAATTCTTGAAAACTATAATACTACAATTTTTTGTATATTTTTTCATTTTTTTTAAAATAGTCTAATATTTCGCTCCCACTGAGATTGAAGGCTAGCTCCACCACTACACACACGCTATTCTATCCATATGTGAATCAATGGACGTGACATCGATCATCGGTCTAAGATAATTCATACTACCTCAGTGTTATCATCGACAATTTAACATCTAAAGTGGGTAAAAATAGAAAAAAGCAATAGTTGAAGTGATATTTGATCAAAAGTGAATACCTCAAAAATAGATTGGCCACTACCAAAGATGAAATCAACAGCACCTTGTATGGTGCAAAGCTTATAGTAATGTCGTCCTTGATCATCCCACAAGGTGTCTTGCAATCCAAAGAAGCCACATCTAAAGAACTTAGTCTTGTCACCGGTAATCATGGCCGCGGCCGCCGGTGCTCGTGGTTTATCATTAGGCGGGCGGTTGTACGAGTTCTTATTCAGACAAAAAAAAAAAAAGAAAAAAAATGAGTCGATTGAAGTTCCTTATATAGCGAAATAATCACTAACCAAATTATACAAGTAGGCAGCTTATATCCAATGAGGACTCAATCCCCCACTCGATTTATTTATTTAAAAAAAACATATAAATATATATTTTATTGTATCAATGTACACATAGCTTCCACTAAACATCAAAAATTTAATCTCATAATCTTATTATTACCACTTAATTATTAGCTTCTGCTAATTTATGATTCTGTCACTAACCAAATAGTACTATGTATATAATATCTCTAGATGAGATAGTGACATTGTGGCGTGAAATCAAATGTACAAACAAAAACAAAAAAACAAAAAAAAAGACAATGGTCCAATCCAAATATTGAAAGGTTTCTTACCGTGAAGCTCATGCATTTGGCAACGATATTATCAGCTAAAGAAGTGAAAGTGGGACTTTGTGCAAGGGTGTCATGGTCATCCCAAACAACTTGTGTTTTCCTCCTTCCTTCACCTTTCAGAATTATGTATGGCTTATCATAGGGTATTTTGATCTTTTCCCTATACATATGCATATACACATGATGCATTAAACATAAGGAGACAATATAGACACACAAACATATACATATTGTGTGTGTGTATATATATATATATATATATCTCTCTAATTTCATAGGGGATTTTGATGATCTTCTCCCTTCATGCATATAGAAACAAAATTGGTCATTTCCATACACAGCACTAAACATGAGTATAGAATATAGACAGACGTATATATTGAAAATATATATATATATAGGGCATTTTGATCTTCTCCTGTATATACATATAGGGGAACAAATGGTCATTTTCACTGCATCAAATAAAAAAAAACGTATAATCCAATGGGATTTTGATTTTCTCACTATATGCATATAGGCGGAAAAAAAGAAAAGGGTAATTTCAATATACATGCATGAACACACACATATATATACACAAAGTATATACATGCGCGCACTCATATATATATATATATATATATATATATATCAACACATATGGACACACATATGGTTTAAAGAGACAAACTACGCACCTGTAAATGCCAGCCTTGATTCTGATACAAACCCAATACTTATTATTTGAAGGAACGGAGTTTATGGCAGATTGTATTGTGGAGAAATTGCCCTGGCCTGAGGGGTCGACCGTTATTGTATAGTAAGCAAATTTCTTATAACCAACTTTTCTGTACCATTGACCATTTGCTTGTCCCAAACTCAAAACCATGAACAAAGCTATGCATAAGCTAATATAACAATGAAGGGACGACATAGTTTTTTAGCCTAATAAAGAGTTTGTGAAAGTGAAAACTGAAATCCAACCTTTTTATTCTACATGAGTGATGGGGACGAGAGTTGAGAATATATATATATATATATATAATTAATGGAGGGAAGTCAAACGTATATATGTATGTATGTTTGGTATTCTCCATTTTTTTATTAAATTGTTAAAAGTCAACAACATATGAACGTCAATATTGTCCACAAAAAGCAATAAAAAAAAAAAAAAAAAAAAATAAAAAAAAAAAAAAAAAAAACCAAAATCAGTGCTCGTATACATGAAATTTCCTGCCATTTCATGCAACAGCCTAGCTAACAAAGAAGGGAAGAAAAAGGTGAAATTCTTTTTAAGATCTGCTGCAAATGGGAAAAGAATAATTTTTCTAAGCATTCAAATAAATTTTAGGTAACAAATTGCAGAGATTTGGAGAGTTTTTAAGGGCATGCCATGATTTTAGAAGTGTATATGGTAATATGAGAATTTCATTACTCGATTAGCATCTAATTGTAATCAAACTGAATTGCACTAAGAACGTCTTTGTGCTCAAGCCCCATTTTGTCAGCATCATAACGTGTCATAAATTACATTCTTTCTTTGGAAACTAAGGATTAATGAATCTCAGTGGACATATATATATATATTAGTTGAAAAGATTCTATAAGTAAGAATAAAAAATATATTTATTAACGTATCATTTAGAGAAATAAAAAAATGTATAATAAGATAAAAAAGATAAGAATGAAAAAAAGAGAAGGAAAAAAAATGTATAATAGGACAAAAAAGATGAGAATGAAAAAAAAAAGAAGGAAAAAAAAAGAAAGAGAGAAAAAAGAATGAAAATTAAAATAAAATAAAAAAAAAACTCACTAACAAAGCATTTTATCAAGAGAACATGCTTTAAAAAATTTAGACAAGGATGTGTATGAGAAGAAATTATTTAAATGAGGAATTCAAAAGAAGTATATTTATGATGGTCAATTTGAAAAAAAAATGTACAATAAGGCAAAAAGATAAGAATGTAAAAAGGGTAGACAAGAAAAAGAATGAAAAGAGGAAAAAGTGAGGATAGTTTAAAAATAAAAGGAAAGAAAGAAAGTACGTAAGTAAGTTAAAAAAAAAACGATGAAAAGTAGAAAGGAAAAAAAAAAGGCGATAAAGGGGGGCAACGAAACACCCCCAAAAAAGGATTCTCTCTTAGTGATTTAAAAAAAAAAAAATGAGACAGGGATATGTATGAAAAAATTATTCAAACGGAGAATTAAAAAGAAATATATTTATGAGAGTCAATTTGGAGAAAAGAAAGAAAAAAGAAAAATATATAATAAGGCAACAAAAAGAAGAATGAAAAATAATAGATAAGAAAAAGAAAGAAAGAAAAGAAAAGAAAAAAGGAGGATAGTTAAAAGATAAAAGGAAAGAAAGAAAGAAAGTAAAACAAACAAACAAACAACGAATAAAAAGTTGGTCTCTTAGGTATGGATAGATATAGTACTCCAACAATTTACTAGAAGAAGGGATAATACTTAAAAAACTCCGTATGTTTTATCAAAATATCACTTTCGCTATTCTTATTATCTAAATACTTTAAACACCAGGAATTTTTTTAACAGGAAAACAACTTTTGAATTAAACAGTCAAATCGACAGCACAACAGAAGAATGCTGCATCTTTTGTAATCTTTGTTTATTACAATTTAAAACATTATTAAACTAAAAAGTTAAATAAAATCAATTTTAAAAAAAATGAAAAACTCTTAAAATAATTGAAGTATTTCTGTGATAGGAATTTTTATTTAAGCACCTTTAAAGCTTTTTTAAGTTTTTTGTCAATTAATATCTAAAATAACATTTCATACAGATTAAAAAGGATAATCATGGCATTTTAAAAAATTTAATATTTTCAGGGAGTGTTTTGGGTTTATTTTTATAAACACACAGGATGTTTTAGATATTTGCATAATAAAAAAGATGAAAGTAGTATTTTGACAAAATACTTATATATTCCCCTAAAAGAATACTGGGACGTTTATTTTATATATTCGTTCATAATTTTAAATTATGATTCATGGTTCTTTACAGTATTTTTTTCTCATAAAAAATACACATAAAACGAGAATGATTCTGAATCATAATTCTGAACTTATAAACCAAACGTCCACTGAATCTTTGCGTGATTTTGAGAAGAGAGATTTGGCTTCGTAGCCTTGTAACCGTCGCGTGATTTTGATAATCATTCCTTAACTTGAGAAAATCTTTTGTTCACGTATCTAGAAGGTCTTTAGACTCAAACGAAAAGGCATTTGTTAATTGCTTTATAATAAGGTCTTGGATTCCGGTCAATAATGAGTGTATATATTATAAGGAAGTTGTATATTTAGGCGTCGTTCACTTCGCGAATTTGAGCTTTCAATTTAAGTTGAGATGTGACATTTTTTGATAATTTTTTACTGTAACAAAAAAAATTAAATATGACATTTTCTGAAAATTTTTTACTGTAAAAATTTAAAATTAAAAACTCAAATTTATCATTAAGTACTCCCTTTATAGCCAATTCGAATGCACTCTAGTCAATAATATCAAATCACAGGCATTACAAAGTGAATACATATATATATATATATATATATAGAAACGTTTATATTGGGAATTTAAGTTGGATCTTTGGATGGCACGTCAAGTTTCAATCACCTCTTGACGGAAATGGAAAATATCTTTTATCTTTTCTAGATGCTTGGCAAGCTTGCTCTGATTTGCTTGTTTGACATACAAGATTTTTGTCAATTAGTTTTCATGATTGGTCTTATTTCAAAGTAACCGAACAATAACAAGAGTGGTTTTATATGCACCTCTCTTTTTACTCTCCATATTTTCTTAAATTAAAAATTTCTAATTAAAAATATCTTTAAATAAAATGATAAAAAAGGCAATAGATTTAATTATATAACTAAATTTTATTACAAAATGGAAACTAATGATAGAGGATCTTTTTGTAGCAAAATCCTAATTTCTATTTTTCAATCACTATTCTAAAAAATTATATGGAAGTATGTTAAATTTTATTTGCTATTGTTTTTTGTTTTGTGTTTATATTTGTTTACTAATCAAATTTTTAAGCTTTTTTTTTTTCATTTTTTGTAATGTGAGATTATGGTTTTCCTTTAGTCTATTATCTCTCTCTTCTCTAAAGATGTTGCTTGTGGTCGTGGGTTTTTTACTCAAACACTTGTGCACATAGTTGTACATATATCTTGCTGCACTTTGTTCACTATGCAATTCGAGAGCTGACCAACACCTTTTGTTTTTTAATTTTTTTCATTTGCTCTTTTATTTATTATTTTTAGTTTTTTTTTTGTGAATTGTTTAATTTGTTTTTATTATTACTTTTTTTTTTTTGGTTTGCTTTGTGTTTGGACGTTTTTATAGGATGAAGTTCTATTCAATGCAATAATATTTTTTCAGATTACCCAATAGACTACACAAATGACTTTACTACTTCTTAGGTGACAACAATTAATAAGAATTTTCTTCTTTGGCCTTTTGTTTTTAAAAGTTGCTCATTATTAAAAAAAAAAAAAAACAAAACAAAAGACCGTAAATAAAAAACATAAAGAGATATAAACAAAAGATAGAAGGGATTGTGGGCATGTGGGGACTAAAAAGGTGGGTGGAGAGAAAAGAATGGGGTGCAAATAAAATCATCTTTAATAATTTTATTAAAATAGTTAGGGGTAATTTTGAAATAATAGGGGTGTGTAAAAAGAAAATTTATTGTATTTTTGAGTTATGGTAACTTGAGTGTAGATCTTGAGTTGAATACGAGTTATAATTTGAATTTAAGATGTAACTTAAGTTTGTGTTTGGAGGTGCACATTTGAATTAATTTTTAAATTGAGAATTTGATTTGAGTATGTGTTTGGTACACCTAAACTTGAGTTGTGAATAGTTAAAAATGAATGAGAGGTAATTATTTTTGTTTGGAACTTATTATTAAAATAAAGGAACGTAATTTTTGTCAACAATTGCAGCTGAACTCAAGAATTATCTTCACTTGAGTAGTCCTTCCTGAACAAAGATTTGACCCAAATTCTTTACTCGAGTGGCCTTTTTTTAATTTTTTTGGGGCAAACAAATAACCCTTTAATCATTTGAAAATTATGTGAAATTTATAATTAAAAAGAGGGTGTGAAGAGTAAAAAAAAAAAAAAGTGTAAATAGAACCACTCTAATAAGAATTATTTTACTATTTTCTAATGAAAGAGTTCTTGGTTTTACGTGATGCATCTATTGAAGTGTTGCCAAACTATGTGGGAACTGTGAAGCTTTCGAGATACCTCTGCCTATCATGTAATTGTGAACTCTATGAATCTCCTTTTTCTAATAACATTTGAAAAGCTACAAATTTGGAGACCTTGGAACGGATATGAAAACTTGCAAGGGACAAGAGGAATTTTGGTTTAGCACACACATGATGAAGAATTGAACTCTTTGCCTGGTCTCTTTACCTCACACAACACGGGACAACTAATCACTACAGAAACTCTCGGTTACTGGTCATTGATAGTGTGGAAACTGGAAAACTTGTTCTAAGTTAGAGATGTAAAATAGGTTCATGTTGTGCTACATAAGTCTATTTATTAGTGTCACTGATTGTATCCATACCATCTCATCTAATAATAAAGTATTGTTATAAGCGTTGGTAGTACTAATCACCATCTATTAATAAAAATTAAGTCTTGCAATGTGCGACTTATAATTAGACTCACATTTTATTAGTGATGGTGTTTAACACTGGTAGTGTTTTAAATATTTTTCATATTGTGCCCTTCCCTAATACGCTTTTATGATGTCAGGTCCAGCGTTCAAAGATTAGGGGGAGTGTTACTTAGTGTCATAATTTGGGTTCATTAGTGTCATTCATACCATCTCATCTAATAATAGAGTATTGCTATAAGACGTCGGTAATGTTAAACACGATCTGTTAATAGAAGTTGGGTTTCGCAGTGTGCGACCTACAGTTGGACTCACCTTTTATTAGTAATGGTGTCTAGCACCGATAGTGTCTTAAATATTTTTTTTTAATAATAATACTGTGTGTTCATTCTCAATACGCTTTTATGGCGCCAAATTCAGCGTTCAAAGATAAGGGGGAGTGTTACTTTTTGAAATTTTAGAGGCAAACATAACATAGTCGGGGCTTTCATAATTAGTCCTTTCATCACTTGAAGTTTGTGATTTGTATGGTTTTAAGAATTTGTGATGGATGTATGCTTCAAATTGCATCAAAGCGATAAGGGAACATTGTTACATCATGTTTAGGATTATTTATGTTTTTATACCTTCTGTTTTCGGTTTATTGAAAAAGTATAGACTTAATTTTAAAGTGTTGTAAATGTATACCTTAAGATTTAGGCAAATTTGTACCTTTTTGAGCCTAATTTTAACCTTTAAAATTCTAAATTAACTTCAATTGAGTGATCAAAAACCAAAGGTCACTACCACTAAGTTTAATTTGATAATTTCAAAAATTAAAATTTTAAAAGTATAAATTTACGTATTAAATGTAATTTGACCGTAGATATTTGCAACAATTAAAAACCCAATGGTATTCTTTTCTTTTTAAATAAACCCTATTAAACGTAAAACTTAGAGTACAAAAACATAAAAAACTCTTATCATTAAATATGACAGAATCAGCTTTTTGACATTTAAGTGGAAATTGCGAGTTATATTAAACCTTGTTCATTTCGCTGATTCGAGTTTAGAATTCGAGTTTTACTATAATAAAAAGTTCTCACAAACAATCACATTTAACTTTTTTACTACAATAAAAAACTCTCACATAAAATCACATCTCAACTCGAATTAAAAATTCGAATCAACGAACTAAACAAACCCTCTGAGAAACCGAGTTGGTAGAGTTATGAAAATGTTCAAAATTGAATGAAATCATTTACAGTGAAATGTCTCGGCCAGGTCATAAATATTTGGCTTTCACAAGCTATTTATATACTGCAACCCCTTTTTTCAGTTTACAAGATCTCCCAATACACTTCAACGCATTTCCGAAAGCAAACCATTTGAAGCAAGTAGTTGCAAAGAGATTATTATATAGCAGATTAAGAAACTATCTTTGAAAAAAATAATAAAAAAAAAAAACAGCTATTAGTCGATAAAGTAATAACTTAGCTAATTTCAAAAAGCTGCATTGCATACAAATGTATGGGAACATCTATTTGAAAAATTACTACAAAACGCTTATAACCAACACGGAAAGAACAGTCTCAAAATCGAAAACAAATTTGACAGCAGCTCAATTCTCCACAACCTTCTCATTCTAAAAACCGAATGTCTTCGGATCAATATTTGATGGGAGCGATAATGTCGAGTTGAGAGCCTAGCTTCTCCTCGGCAGCCTTCTCAGCCTTGACCCTCAGTTTATTCAATTGCTTCTTCCTCTCGTAGGACAACTGCGCCCTCTCCTTTCTCTTCCTCTCAAGCTCCTACAGAAGGGAGGAGAAACATAACAAACGTCAGATACACATAAATGAAACATGGATTTTACTTATCATACAATCAAATGCATAACAAAACAATCAACTAGATGGAAACGACAAAGGGAACTATTACTGACCTTGATAGTGTCATAGTGGTTCCATCCAACCTCGGATGAAAGCCTGCCCAACAAGCAGTACTTGTGTCCCGCTTGGAGCCTCAATACCCTATTTTTATTTTTTTTTTTGTATAATCCAAAGACAAGTCATTTCCTTTCATAAGACAAAATAGGACACAAGAAAACATATAAGAAACTTGCAGTTCAAGCAATGCAGCTCAATTACAAAACTCACTTGAGAGCATCAGGAATCACCATCCTCTTGATCTTATCATAAGGAGGTGGGACACCCTCATAAGCCTTCAGACGAGCAAGAGCAGCAGCGCCTCTCTTAGTCTTGTGAGGAATCATCCTACAAAAAAAAAAAAAAAATGAATGGTAGAACCAAATCCCTCTACATTCTATAAACTTGCCTTCTTAGAAAACAATATATAACAAGCTCATCAGCCTTGGCAAAAAAACAACAAATTCATCAACCAGTCAGAAAGTAAACCGAATATCATCACTGGGTCATCATTGAAAGCTAACAAATACCATTGCAAAAGAAAATAAACATGTCATATCATCATTAGTCGGAAAACTGAAGCAGAAAATAAAAAAATGACAGCTGAAAATTCCCTACCTTCCTCATGAAACTGAAAGCACCAAATAGTCAAGCAAACACCAATAAATCGATTTCCTAACCTCTAACAATCAACTTCGATAAATGATCGCCAAAAAATCTTCAATCACACTAACAATCCCTCACCTATCCTTATCCAAAACAAATATTACATTCACATCTTTTCTCTCAATTCCACAACGGAACGCCAAAACTCCCCAAACAAAGTGAATAACTGGTAACCTAATTCGATCACTAACCAAACCTAGAAATGTGCCACAAAAATGACACTCAATTCGAGAAATCTCAATAAACCCTGCACAAATTCAGATCCCCTATAGCCCTTAATGTTACAACAACTAAAAAAAAATTCAGGAAGTCGCAAACACAGTCCACAGGGTAATCACATCTATATCAAAAAAGCTGTTGTCCCAATTCAACTTAACAAAGTCCCCTAAACTTCCAACCAAAATGAGAAATTGTCACCTAATTCCATTCAATCACTAACCAAACCTAGCAATGTACCAAAAACGACACTCAATTCAACAAATCTCAATAAAATCCACACAAATTCAGATTTCCCTACAGCCCTAAACTTCCAAAAATAACAACAAAAACCTCAAATCCAGAAAGAAGCAAACACAATACAGAGAGAATCACAGCCATTTCCGACATACCCACGGATGGTGCGCCAGAGGATCTTGGCGGGGGCGCGGAAGTGGATGGGGCCATGGGAGGGCTTGGTGTTCATCCGCTTGCGGAGGAACCTCAAGTACTTCATCTTCTGGCGGACAAGGCCGCCGGAGATGCAGATCTCCTCGCACCGGACCACCACCACCTTCTGCCCGTTCAGCAGCTCCTTCGCGATGATCGAGGCCAGACGTCCCAGCATGTGGTGCCGCGCGTCCACCACCACGCGCTTCGCGCAGATTCCTGACCCTGAGACCATTTTAGCTTCTTCTTCTTCTTCTCTCTCGCGCAAACCCTAAGCGGCTTGAGTGTGGGAAATGTGGCGAGGAGTTAGGGTTTTGGGAGATTTCGTTCTACCAGGATGGTTATATATATACACGGGCCATGATAGGTATATGGGCCATCAGTTAATTATTGGGCTTTTATGTGGGCATCCTGCGACAAGTTCTAGACTGGGCTCATATTGGGCTATGACCAATTCGGCGGGGAAGTTATTATTCTGCCCCTTTAAAATTGAGTATTCAATTTTGCTCCTCTAATCAATATTCTCATTTTGATCGCCCTATTAAGATGACCATATTACCCTCGTGTGAAAAGTTTTTCTATTACTTGTATATCTCTCACAAGAAAAATGTTAGCCTTACTCTTTCTGTCACTCTCTTTATCACTAACCAACGAACATAGTACTGCGAAAAACATAAAACTAGCGAATATGATGTTGCTTTGCTTCTTTACTTTGGGCTAGATGAATATTTAGGCGGGAATGGTCTTGTGACATTAGGGGTTGTTTGGTTGGGGGATTCGTACCCCGATTTGAATCATGATTCATTATTCGCTACAGTATTTTCTCTCACAAAAAATACATGTAAATTGAAAATAGTTATAATCTCATGATTTTAATCCAAGAACCAAACATCTCCTAGATTTTGGCACAAAAGAGGGGTTTGCAACAACGACCTCATGAGGAATGGAGACGAGGCCTGGGGGCTGGTATCTCTCAAGAAGAGGCTACTTTCCACATTTTCTTTCTCTTTTTAGAGTGTTTTTAGTTTAAGATATATTTTATTCAATGTTTTAGCTCATTAATATTTTAAATGGTTTTTTTATATAGATTGAGAACTACAATCGTAATATTTTCAAAAATTTAATCGTTTAAGGAGGTATTTCGTAATTGATCATTTTATAAAGACACGGAGCTAAAAGTGATATTTTGATTTCAAATATTCTCTTCTATGAAATATATATTCTCTTTTATTAAACGTGATAGGTTAAATGTGGGGTAAAATGTTATTTTAGACAATTTTCAATAACACAAGGGTTAAATATGGTATTTGAAGGAGCTTGGGGAATTGGAGATATTCTACGCATTAATAAAAGGAAACACAATAACAGTGTTTTGTTTGGGTATTTCCTACTTTTTTTGGTCCCTTTTATTTATAACTTTGATATTATGTTCCAAAAATATATAGTCCATTTTTTTCTATTCTCTTAGGAAAAATAACACATAAATAAGATAAAATTTTCAATAAAATGATGCATCTTATTGATATATCCAGATTTTTAGTAATTCTAGTAATACTTTAAAATGTATTAAAATACTACCTTAATAACAATTCAATATGTCACAATACTTTTAAATTTAATCGATATCTGTTACATTATCATAAAGTTTGCAAATTAAAAAACAAAAAAAAAATCAACAAAACTATGTTTTGGTTACCTTTTATTATATATTAAAAAAATCGTACTTTCTTGTCGTGTTAATGCGTGCTTGCTATATAATTAATACTCAATGCATAATTCCGCTTATTCTTCTTACAGAAACTACTTGAACTTCACATGCTAGGAGAGTAATCGTGTGTTAAGTTTTGATTTCCGTCTTATTATTTTTTTTTAATAATAAAGATCTTAATTAATTAGTTAGTTAATATACAACTAATACAAATATCGTTACAAGTATCACCATTAAAATAAATTTCAATGAGAATTTAGAGAGAAAAAAATAATTTAAACGAAGTAAATGAAAAAAGCCAAAAAAAAAAAAAGGCATGAATATATATATGAAAGACATTATATTAATAAGAGCAATATAAGGGAAAAATGGCACTTTAAAGTCACCCAACAAAATCAAATTAAAGAAATTAAATATGGCATAAGCGGGAGAAATGCACGCAACAATAATTTTTTTTCCTCAAAACAAAGTTTTAAAAATGAGACACATTTAAAAGTATATAAAATTTGAATGTGAAATCTAAAAAGAAACCAAAATTAAAAAAAAAAGTTTTAGGGAAGGAAGAAAAAAAGTCAGAAAAGGACTAAATTGAAAAAATAAATAAGTTTTCCTGTGAAAATAAAAAAAAGAGTAAAATAAAGGATTGCAAAAATGGGAGGGGCAAAAAACAGAAGGAAAAAAAGGACTAGAAGACTGAAAGAAAGAATAAAAGAGGACCAAAAAGTAATAAAACGAAGCAAAAGAAGGGGGGAAAATGTCTCATCGCCGTTTTGGTTAAAAGTAGGAAGCACTTTTGTGCTTTCTACATAGTAAAGATACAATTACCATACATATATATATATATATATATATATATATATATACGCGTTTGATTTATGAATTAGAATCATGTGATTAGAATTATTTTTGATTTACGTGTATTTTTTATGAGAAAAAACATTATAACAAATTATGAATCATTATTCAAATCATGGTTTTAATCCTCCAACTAAACATCTCAGTTTACACATACATATATATTTTTAAAAGAAATACTCTTACGCTATAGTTTTTACTTTTTTCTACACTAGTTGTATGCACGCGCCACGCTCGTACATTCCTTGCACTTTTGAAAAAAAAAATGACTACAAGAAAAAATGTTTCAGCAATTGCACATTTGAGAAAATTTATTTTAACAAGAGTAGATTAGGGAAAAAAAAGTTTAATAAAGTTTATTTGAAAAGTAACCAAGAAAGCAGAGCAGAAAAGTGAGGAGGAAAAAATGAATGGCCAAAATATGTATATTTGACATGATTTCAAAAAAATAAGGTTAGGTAGGGACATAAATAAGAAGAAAATATTTTTTTAAGTGAGAAGAAATTATTTTAACAAGATTATTAGGAAAAAAAATATTTATGAGAATCACATTTAAAAGAAGAAGAAAAAAATCAAGAATTTATAGTGGGAAAAATGATAAGATTAAATCAGGGGATAGAAAAAAAAAATGAACAATTGAAGAAGCAAATAAACAAAGGAAGGAGGGCCCAAAAAAACCAAAAAGAAGAAAAGCAAAATCAGAAATGTTAAAAAAAAAAATCGAGGACGAAAAGATTTATAGAGTAACTTATATGTTAAAAGATTTATAAACATTCCAATCGAAACTTGCATTTTAGTCGAGTACTATATGTAGACTTAAGTAGAACATGTATGAGAAAAAATATTTTAACGGGTAAATCGGGCAAGAAGCTAATTAAGCGGGACATATGAAAAAAAAAAAAGTAGTTGAAGAGGTTATATGGAGAAAAACTGTTAATAACATAACATATGAAAAAAAAAAAAGTAGTTGAAGAGGTTATATGGAGAAAAACTGTTAATAACATAATAAGGACATATTTAAGAAAAAATATTTCAATGATGATAAATTAGAAAAAAAAAATGTATTTACTAAGAAAATAAAAATAACAAGCGTTGTATCAGAAAGCTGCTTAAAGAGAAACATATTTATGAAAAAATTGTTTTAGTAGGTCAATCAAGAAGAAATATTTACAAAAATCACTTTTAATAGAAAAAATATTACACGATTAAGTAAAGGCTTATTTGTAACACATTATTTAAAAGGAGCATGTGAGGAAAAAAAATATTTCAAAAAAAGAACATCGAAAAAATTACAATATACACAAGCCATTAGGAAAAAAAATAATCGAAGTACCATTTGAAAGAAATTATATTAAGCAGGGTAAAAAAGTATTTTGAAAAGACACATCATAAAAAATAAATTGTATAAGAGTTTTGAGTGAAAAAAAAAAAAAAAAGAAAGCGGAAACAAAAAGTGAAAAGAATTAGAAAATGTAATATAGGAAAAAGCAAATACATGAAAGCAATAATGAGAGACTGATACATGACTAAGCGGTAGTTTGGTATGAAGATTCATATTATGATTTGAATTATGGTTCGCGGTATGTTATATTATTTTTTCTCACAAAATATATATATAAATCGAGAATAATTCTGAATTCATAAACCAAACGTCTACTACAAAAAGAATTTTTTATTTATTTATTTATTTACTTTTTTACATGTGTAAAGATAAGACGCGATCAAACTATAACCTCCCAAAGTCCCACTCCAGTCTGCCCAAAATCCAATACCACCAGATTAAACGGTCTTTGGTATTTTTACTTTTTAGTATACTTCAAGTTTAAAACCTCAATTATTCAAACTAACGATCAATTATATATACTGCTAAAATGTTATTTCGTATTTTTTGAGTGTTGATCCAATTTTTTTAACTAAATTGTTCGTTTAATCTAAAGTACTAGATAGTTTTAGAACGTTGGTCAGGTGTTGGATAAAATTTTGCGCGAGTACACTATCTTTTTGCAGAATTATACTACTATTTATGTACATATGCAAACAATTGATTAACATACACATATTAAAGAACAAATACATTTGTCCTACGTAGTCTGTATATATATATATTTGTACGTGCTTGTATTTTTTTTAAATTGTTTCCGGTCATTATTCTTTTCTTTTCCAAATTTAGAGATTGGTCGCTGCGACGCCCATATGTATATTGTATGTATGCACCATATTATATGGACAGAGATTTGGCAAAGGACTGCGAGTTTAGAAAACTGATATATATAAGACAGACTAGTCCTATATACACACTTACTCACTCACATTATTTGACCAGTACTGTTCACATCCCAATAGGATCGCATGTTTTAAATGTTTTTGCCGGGGTACTTTTTTCCGATCGATACTGTGCCGAGAGAATGAAATTTGTGAAATTTTATGTTAAAATTTACAAATTCAAACAATAAAATTATAAATTTAAATGATATTTTTTGAAATTTTAAATTTTACGATGAATCGTTCGAGTTTGCAAGTTCTAACGTAAATCATCGTAAAATTTAAATTTCACAAATTATCGTTACTTTTACAATTTTATCGTTTGAGTTTACAAGTTTTAATGTAAAATTTCACAAATTATTGTATCTCTCGACATTGTGTCGAGAATATTCCCCCTGACAGCATAAAAAGAATCCGTTTATAAATCATAGATTGACTTCAATATACGTTATAATTATTCAAGTACTAATGATACGTACATATCAATCTTAATTAATTCATACATACATATATACATAAATACATATATACATATATACATACATATATATAATATCAAAGACTATCATTCTTAATTCATACATACATATATACATAGATACATATATATATATATATAACTGTAAAACAAAAACAGCAATGCATATTCTATATATATTTTCTTTAAAGAAATGAAGATTTTCGATCATGTTAGGGGACAAAAAAAGTTCATTTGAAAGCTATCTAAGCTAGCTAGCTAGCATGTTGATTGACACCAGAAGAATCCAATAATCTTCCAAGAATCCCACATGGGTCAACGACACAAACGTCCAGCATTTACATAAACTAAGACAAAATATGACCATATATACAAACAAACATATGCATGATTGAACCTGCACGAAAAAGAAGAGAAAAAAAAAAAACAAAAAAACCCAAAGAAAAAAGGAGTGGTCTGTGAATGATAGAACCTTTTTATTTCAATTATAAATAAATAAATAAATAAATAACCTTTTCATTCAAATCCAAATTAGCTCTTAAAAAGCTGTAGGGGACCCTCCAAGCATGGCAACGTCTAATACGACCAAAAATCAGCAGTCGTTTCTGACATGTCAACGGACCCTCGGCTGGATCCATGATGCCGGCAGTACAGCTCGTTGACCTTCCATATGCACCATATACATTTATAAATGTATGTATATATATGTTATGATTTACATGTATGTATGAGAAGAAATCATTTTGACTTTTGAGATATCTAGTACATATTTCTGCGACAACTCTTTTCGAATCCCCACCAGAGAGACAGAAGATAAGAGAGAGAGAGAGAAAGAGAGAGAGAGAGAGAGATAATGTGGATTCATCAGAGGCACCATAAGTTGTATGTGAGTCTGGAAGGAGGGTTTTTGGTGTTAAGGATCCCCTCACTTTTTCAAGATTGTTATAATTTGGTCCTTTTCTAGCGATTAATTTATGAGCTTTTTCTAGTACTTTTGGCCCAAAATTATCGTAAAATGGACATTAACTAGTACCTTTAAATATTTAATATAGTGTTGTACCCTTTGTTATGTTCATTTTTGTTAATATTCAAATACTTTTGTAATGAGATTATTTATGCATAAGACTCCTCTATATAACACAATGAGAGTAGCATATTTGTCAAATATATAATTAGGAAAGCTCCAATTCACTACACCATTTAATTAAGAAATTATCACGTGCCCTTTAGTTTAACTAGAGGAATATCAGAGAAGTGGCCACACCTTTATCAATATCGATCATTACTCGAGTTATATTATTCTCTAGAGTTTTTATAATCTTTTTTTTTTCTTTGGGTTTTGTAGATGTTAATTAGTATCGCTTTGAACTTTATTAATTGACGCTACAACAACTGGTCCCTATATATATATATATATATATATATACTTTTCTGTTTAGCTGTTTAGTCCCGAAATTTATTTATTTATTTATTTATAGTTTTTATCCTTAATCATAGGCCAAGTCTCCACTCCAGTACCGGATTGGAGCGGTAATTGTATATTTTTTTTAATATATATATATTTTCTTTTTAAAATGTGTATATTTTCTCTTAAAACATGTATATATTGTATATTTTACTATAAAAGGAAATGTACATATTTTAAGTAGAAATACACAAGTTTTAAAGATAAAATATACATATTTTAAAGAAAAAATATTTAAGCGTCAGGAGACAATTCCCCTAATCATAAAACTAATCATGACCGACTTTCAAAATTTACATACACATATACATATTGAGTACTGCCACATATTCTTTTCATGACTACTCGTGAAGACTAATAAGAAAAACGAACAAACTAGATGATCAATTGTAAATTTTGTTTATTTCTTGATGAACCAAACGGAGAATAATATATTCCACATATATAGGCATGCATCGATATATACTAGCGGCGAAGTGAGTCAAGAACTAGCTAGCTGACGCATCATAAATTCTATTCTGATCTTCAGCTATATATATATATATATATAAATATATATGTCATGATCGTCACATGTTGCTGTTTGCGTGGATAAAACTGAATATTTGC